CTGCGGGGAGCTATGCAAAAAACGCATCTTCGCACGGGCAGCCCGTGCGTTGGCCAATTATTCTTTGTTATTGCCGTGTGTTACAAATCTCTTTGAGCTCAAGACTCTTAATCGATAGCGAGAACAGAAGAGCGAATGCTGGCTGTGACGGAGAGAGAGCGCTGGAGCGGCGGAAGTTGCTAGGATCAGATGTGTAGTCGACAAGCTACGCACAGGAAGAAATTTCCGTCCGTGGGAAAAAGCGTGTTGTGCAGGACGACATGTTGCTCACCTTGCTGCTACAGTTACTGCTCAAGAAGAAGAAGTAAACGGCCGTTCAGGTGCTCTTCGAGTAGGTGATGCACATGCACTGAACAGGCAGTTTGAGTACCAATCGACAGGCATGCAGCTCAAGGCCAAGGGCTAGACATTGCTTTGCCGGGCATGTAAATGTATCCCGTTAGTTCGCTATCACTGAGCCTACACACATCGGCTGTTCCCTAGGTCTTGGTGATACTGGCAGGAGTTCACAGCTTGCCTCCCTCTGCCTACAAAATTTCGTTCAAATCTGGACGATTGAGGAAAGTGCCGCAAATTATCGTAATGTTGTTAATTTTTTGCAAAAAAACTCGAAGTGGCGCAATTGGTGGGATCTCGGGAACTCTGGTTGATATGAAGCAGATTCTCGAGATTGTCTTTTCGCAAGATGAAGGTGCTACGAACACTGTACTGTAGAGGGGATGTAGCACATTAAGGTGGATCAGAGTTAATGCGTGTGAGGAAGCAGATATTGCTTGGTATCAATGGTATAGCATATGAACGCAAGAAATTTTGTTGAAACTACGGTCTTACGGACGGCCCCTTGGAAGGTTTGGCAGAAAAATTATCGCGGGATAGCTGGGAAATTGAAAACTTCAGGAGAATGTTTTTCGCCTATGCGCATAGACCTAACAAATTCAAATTTAGCTCCCAAGCATGCAAAAATTCTACCAGAATGCATACATTCAGTTAAGATACAGTTAAGATACCAATATTGAGATGAAGTTGACAGCTGCTGTAGCTGAGAGCAGGAAGAAAGCAAGATCGATCTGAAAATAAAGCTACGGAATGATCAACTGCGATTCATGGCAGCTG